TTTTTAATGTTCCTTTTAGCTTTAGAAGCAATTAAAGATTTTTAATAATTTAAAAATTGTACTTAAAGTTTGATGTATGTTTTTAAAAGATTTAAAATATTAAAAGTCTACAAAGGGCTTTAAAAAAAGTGTAGAATTGACGAAATACGTTAAGTCTCTATGAAATCTTTTTTTATAAATTAGTTTTTCGTTTTTTTTTTTTCCATTTTAGACACTTTTTTTTCAAAATGACTGCCAACACTGAGCAACAAACAAAAAACTCACCCGGCAGAAGCCCGATGGGAAAGGGGAGTCGGGGGAACCCGGGGGCAGAGCGTTAAAGCCGAGCTTGAGACTCTAATGCCGGCGTCGACTTTGAAGCTTTTGAATTTGCCGCCGTTGTTTAAAGTTGTTGTTGACGTTGTTTTTGCTAATTCCGCAGCTGTTGCATGTGCTTTATACTGATTTGTATTTATGCTTCTTTTGTTGCACTTGACATAACTTTGAGAGGAGATTTAATAAGCGAAAAATATGAACGAAACTTAGAACTAATGAGAAGTTGGGATTTAGACCCGCTTCTTTCTCAAGAACTTTGATATATCCGACCGAAGATATATGCACTTTTTTTTACCGAGCACACGACCGCGTCGTTATAAACTTGGATTACAACTGAAGCGGAGAATTCTCGACGACGTAGTACCAACCTGAGCGCGGGAGAGTAAGCGTTATGGCTATAAAGCTATAGCTAGATGGTGCGCTCGCTCTCCTTCTCTTTCGCTCGCTGGAGAAGCGAGCTTTACACTCTTCTTACCAACTGATAAGCGGTAACTGGTGTTGCCAACACGAGTTGCCAACTATATGGCGGGACTTGGGTAAAGCTAAAGCTGGAAAAGCTAAAGCTAATTGAACTATGGGTTTTGGTACACCTGTAGTTTCTCAAAAGACTTGCAAGCTTTCACGGGAATTTCCCATAAGTTACTACTTTACATGAAGCCAAAAGTTAACTTTAACCAAGTTACCGTTGAAATTTGATGATTAGATTTATTGATTTACGGAATATGATCTTTAATATTACGTTTCTTTAATACAACTTAAAGATCAGAACCAAAATATAGCAAAACTATGAGCTTAGCTTGGAAATATCCTCTTTATCTTAGAAATAAAAACATTAGATACCATCAATAAGGGTAACAAAACCTAGACATAATAACCAATTAAAAGAAAATACCCAAAACGCAAAGGACTAAATATCTTAAGTTGCCCATTTTGGGTAAGTCGTTCTACGAAAAGAATAAGCAAAGCTTAACACTTAAGTGCTCGGCGAAACCCACAACAATTAATATAAATTTAACCGTTACGATTATGCGAGACAATCTTCATTAATTAGACACAAGTCGAACATAGAACAAATTAGCCAAGGGTTAACATCCAGTGGGGGTTCGCAACCCCAAGCCGACGATGTCATTAACGTCACGTCGCTTTCGCCAGTGTCTCCTTCACCTTTTCCCATCGCCGGCTAAAGGGTGCAGTAATTATATTTACCGTTAATCCTGATTCACCACAAAAGGATAGAGACGAAGAGAGCTAAAGGGTCACCAGATGAACAGCAGAAAAAAAAATCAAAGAAAAACAAATGCAACAAAGACCGTTAGTAGAGTGACGGTTGTTGGTGTTAAAAGTGGGTTACAGCGGTTACAATCAACCGTTCTTAGATTTAAGACCCATTTAATATATCCTCTTTAGTACGAATTCTTGAATTTGCAAAATCAGTTGATTAAAAATAGGTGGCAACTCTGGTTTTCAGGGATTATTTAGGAGTTTTGAAATATTAAAGGGAAGGAAATAAAAACACATGAAATTTAAAAGATTCTTTTTATTTAAATGAGTTTATGTTGAAATACCAAAAATTAATAAGTAGTTACTAAGTTCTATAACTGACTACCAGGTATTTCATGACCCGTATACATTGCTTTCCACTACCCTTTCATCTGCAGTTCATTTACATAGTATTCGATTAAGTGCAATTTACTTTGCGTTCCGTTTTCTATGGGTTTCCCTTCTCTATGGTATTTGAAATGAAAAGCGTGAGCTTAAAGTGCGTTTGGTTCGATTGCCTGAACACTGGAATCGAGTGCGGTGGATTGTGAGCATGTGGTTTCCCTCAAAACCCCATTGATTCTCGAACTTTAAATGGTTTCTTACAATAATAAAGATTTCTTAAACCGCAGCTGCATAAATTATTCGGGATATTATCTTTAAGCATAATTAATCTACATATCCTTGGCATTTGTAGTTAATAACAATTTGAAAACCTATAAGCTTTGACAGCAACTTAAAAATAATAAAATTATAATTTCAGTGCTAGCTTGCAACAGCAGGAGACTTACGAGCCACCATCTTGCTTAGTCTAAGTGCATAAATTGCTAATAAATTGTCACAACATTATGAATATTGGTATTTTCCAGACCATCTCCTCCACTCTCCCAGAGCTCTCCTTGACAAATATTTAATATCGTAGATGCATTTTCCGTTGTTGTAGTCGTAGTCGTCGCAGTATAAAATCAAACCAGATTTTCCCATATATGTATGCATGTACGAGTAGATAGATATACTATCAGAAATTTGTCTACCATGTCAACGGAAAATTCGCATATTCGAGGAGCTCAGTTTGGGCACCCTTCCAAAACGAGCAAGACGATGGACAAAGAGAAAAATATTTTCATATGCAAGCGAATAGAAAATTGAAGTCTGAAGAAATCTAAAAAATAAAAAGAATTGAGAAAAGCAATCATAATGTAGAAATTGAAATATATTGACAGGCGAACAACTTGAGAGTTATTCCTCGAAATGAGCAACCCAATTCTGCCTTTGTCTTTCCTTTTCCCCAAGGAAAATTTGTTTGTTTCAATTTAGGTATTCACACAGATGCGATTGCCTCCAAGAAAACATTTTAATTTATTTACGACTCTTGCAAAAACGCTAAAATTAACAGCTGCGCAATGTTTAGCTAATGCAGAACAGGCAGGGTGAAGTAAGAGTTTACTTCTTCGTGGCAAAGTCTATGGAATGACACTTTCCACTGACCTAAGATATTTTATTAAAGTATGAATATTACAATAATATATTTTACACTTTACTATTAAATATTTGTAAGATATTTTATATCTTTTTTTTTAACAACATTTAATTTCATAAATATGAAACATAAAGTATACCACAAATCGGCAATATAAAACAATTTGCCCTTTTAAGAGTATAATGCAGTCGTTTTAGTGCATATTAACATTTTGATCTTTTGTTTTATTTCACAACTCGATTCATGGGCTTTCCAGCAGCTTTTGGTTTTTGTTGCCTGGCTTTTGGCAGCGATAACTGGGCGAACTGTTTTCACTGGCTCAAAGGCGACATAAATGTATATTTTGATTATTTTGTGAGCCAGAAGTTGAGCATTTTACGGCCCGCCGGCATTTGCATTTCAAATGTATACTTTTACGACAGCCAGCCAGCCCCAGTCAGCCCCAGTCAGCCTGTTAGCCCCTTAGCCTTTTGGCCCGCATCCCGTCTGACGACACCTTCCCGCAGGATATTTCGCTGCGGGCGAGACGAGGTGAGCCACATGGAAGTGAGTGAAATACCACAAATGGCGTGTAAACACAACAAAGAGGTAATAACAATGGATGCCAACGAGGTCCCTGAACTGGAGAGCTCATGGAGGAGAGGGGCAGTAAACTCGTCCGCATTCCTGGAGCCTTTGAGAGGAGTCCTACAAACATTTATATATATATATCAGGGCTTTGGACTTTCGCCCAAGCACCCGCACTTTCGAAAACATTTTTATTTGTTTCTCCGTAAGCTGTGTCAATATACAATAAATTGAACTGTGCAAGAATTTATGTTGGCTCACTGTGTGAGGAGGAGGAGGACGTTCAGCACCCTATCTGTCCCAATGCCTTCGGCTGCGTTATCGCACTGGGGCGTCAATTGCCTGTTGGCCACCCCCTGGGGACTTAAAAGTTCAATAATATTTATTTGTTACTTGCTCTCTGGGCAACAAAGCACACGAGATTACACTTAGTCCTAGGCCGTCGTTCATCAAGTCGCGCATATTGTCCCATCCCCATCCCTCTTCTTACATAATGGCATATTGTCACACAATAGGGCTAAGATCCCGCCGCATATATGTCTTCCTTTTGGCCATAAATTCCAACCACTAAAGGCGATGATTTTTCAACAGACACCGGGCTAATTTAGTGACCGAATGCCAACTCGGTCACCACTGTGATTTACGGGGTCACCATTTGCACGATTCCAATTATTTGTTGGTGGTTCTTGTGACTTTAACCTTAGAAGGAAGTAAAGAAGTGCCTTCGATTTGAACTTTGTTAAAGTTAAGCTGGAAGTTTATTAAGAAGTGAAGGAGTTTAAGCCTATTTCATTAAACTTAAATGCAAGCTTATAGCTATTGGGAAATGAAAGCAAGAATAACTGAAACTAAAACCTTTTCTGTTACAGTTTAAGTAGTAAGATCTATATCTTCGGAAATCTAAGCATTAAGCATTACTTTGTAAGAACATAGAAAATCAGAATATACAATCCAAAATATCGACAACTGTTGATCCCCGTTTAGCCGCCCAATTGATATTCATAAGCGACGAAAGGAGGAAACTGCCCGGCGGAAACAAGTGTTTTGTTGGTCATCTACAAATGGCATCCGAGGAATCAAAAAAATAAATCTCCAATCTTCTAAAGGCAAAGTTATTTCCCTAAAGCGCAGGCGCAGACAAACAGCCGGCAAATTAGCTGAAGGTTCGATTCCAAAAACCCAAACTGAATAGAACAAAAGCTGGGGAAGTTGGAAACGAACCGGAATCCGAACCCCTGCCGGCATGAAACAGAGGAGAAGCCGAAGTGGAACGTTCAACGGAACGGCTTTGAATCGGGAGCAACCGCCTCGGAATGTTAAGAAGTCTGTGGGATGGCGTTGCCGCGAAGCGTTTCAGTTGAAAATTTGAATCCGGTACGCGTGGACGTGACTCGGATGGAATAGAGGAAGCCCAAACCGAAACCCAAAGACCAGAAGTCAATTTTACGCGATGTCTGAATAGGAAGGAACTTTGTGCTCGAACGAAAGTCAGAAAAAAGAAAATGTGAAAGCGGGAAAAAAATGAAGAAAAATATGCAAAAGTGCGAAAACAAAGAGAGGAAAAATTAAGACAAAGTTAAACCACTTGATGTCCCCTTGGGTGTCCTGTGTCTTCTCCGTGTCCTCTGTGTCCTGCCGTGCCGCCTGTCGAGTGTCTTTTGCCGAAATCACTTTTAAAATTTGTTTGCTCTTTCCGTATTCAAATGGATATTAGAATGCCGCGCTGAACTGAACACCCAACGAGCAAGAAACAGGGCCAACACCAAAACAGAGGATTTCGCCAAGGATGCGTAAGCGTCCGCCGTAAACGTAAAAAAGGGATTATTGTGCATCATTTCGGGCATCAAGAAAGAAAAGAAAGCGTAAGAGGCAGGCGAAGGAGAAAGTATATCCTCGAGTCGGATTATGCGATAAATTGTTACTGAAGTGTAAATGTTTTCTCACGTGTTAAATCATTAAATATAAGCCAGCGCCAAGCTATCGCCATTGGTTTAGAACCCCAACATATGGCCCTTATAACTTATTACCAAGAACTCAAAACTACAGAGAAAGCCCATCGAATGGCAATGTAAAACTTGTTAAACACTATAAATGGTCCAAGTTCGTTAGGTTTTTCTTTGTGTGAAAAGTTTCGCCCATTAGTCATCGAGAACATTGTGTGATAGTTCTACATGGAAACCGCGCGAGTTATTAACTTTCGAGAAAGTGAGCCGAGAAAGAAATTTCTATGTTATTAATTGCAAAACGATTATGAAAGTTTAAGTGGAAAAAGGTTGATTTATACATCTTGGCAAGTTCAAGTACTTTGACTTTTCCATTGATTGAGCTGTTGAAATTTCAGCTACTGATGATAAATTATTTTTATTCCATGTAGTTAAGGGAATTTAGTAAAAATTTAAAACGTTGAAGTTGCATTTGAGTTTTTCTTTTATATATTTATGAAATCTTTTTTGTGGTTTTGTGATAGTTGGTTGTGCTTTTCCTAGTCTATTATTTGATTATTACAAAACCACTTTAATAAGCACAATAAAGTCCAATGGCAAACAACACAGTTAGGTAAATTTATTTATTAGGGCTTAAACGGATTTGTGCTGTTGAACAAAATAAGTTTTCGGAAAGACCAAAAAGCCAAATAAACAAATTGGATTACCATACAATAAAGTCGAGTTCAGATGGCAGTTTGTTTGTCTATGCTGGTGCCACTGCAGCGCCAATAAAAGTTTACCACTCGACAAAGGCGAAAACACTTAAATAAATATATAAATCAAGCAACACAAAAATAGTGCAAAACTAGAGAGGACAAACGAAGTAAGCAAACAATGAGACTGCAAGAAAATCGCTTGAGAAAACGCATCGAGAAACTTGTGGCCAAAACCCCATAAAGAAGAAATGCAGTTTTTTGCTGTTGCAAATAGAAAATAAAATCGAATGAAAATAAAGTAAAATCAAATAAAATAAAATAAACTAAAGGCAAACCGGATAGAGGTTAGATGAAAACCCAAATAGGAGGCAAGCCAAAACCCAGCCCCAAGCGTATTAATTCAATAAACCTATTTATCTGAGACTTCGACTGGGATTTGGAGAAGCCGAGCGGAGAATGCGACAAAGTTTGCCAGCCAAGACGGCGCAGTGCAATCAGCAGATCCTTTCCTTGGTCCTAAGGAGCACGAGGAGCCAGATTCGATGCCGCAAACGAGTCCCAATTGGAGGCAGGCGGACAATGAGCGCACAAAAGGCGCTGTAAGTGTCATTGCAGCCAGGAACTGGGCCACTGGGACTGCCACGCAGGACTAGAACCAGAAGAGCAGGAACAGCAATAGCAGTAGTAATAGTAGCAGCAGCAGCAGCAGCCTTAGTAGCAGAAGGAACAGAATCAGCAGTACCAGGACGACGCGTACAACAGCAACGTTGACAACCGAGATGACATTGGCAGGACGAGCAGGACGAATGGGAGGTGGAGCGCCGTGGTGTCGCCGATTTTTCCATATATCCCGACCAGCATCTTGGCTGCGCATCATCTTCGTCCTTTTGGCCCTACTGGCTCTTGGCTTTGGGATACGTAAGTACAGCTCGGGGGTTTCCCTTACTCCTTGTATTTGTGTCTGTGTGACTTTCATACATTTTTGATTTAATTTAACGCATTCACGTCGCACACTCCAACACACACCCTCAAAAGAGGTGGGAATGTTTTAAATGGCTGGGATACCCAGCACTTTGAAAATGTGGCCTACCTTCGGGTGCCCTCTTCAAGATAACTTTCTTAATCACCTTCGGAATTCGGTTTAATATAATTTTCTGAGAATTTAATGTGTGTAATATCGCAAAGAAAGAAATCAAATTCCTAAAACCATGGCTTAAGTTTTTCTCAAATATTTTATTTCATCCAAAAATACTTTCCTCTTCCTGATTTTCGTGTATTCCCTAATCCTAATACCCTGTAAAATAACCGCTCATAAACACTTGCCAGCGCACACATGGATAATGGCTCTCGTAAGCGGATCCCAAGATGCGACATGGCTGCTGGCAAATTATTTTAGTAGTTCTGGATCAGCAGGGGGAGTAGAAGTGGCAGAAGGCAATTGTCCTTTGGGTAACTGGTCCTTGGAAATGCGAAATTGCGGGGGCTGAAGTTGCTGGGGCCTGGGCTTCCCATTGTTTCATTTGATTTGCTGAAATTAGATTAGAACCAGCCACGGGGTCAGCGAAATAGGAAAACAATAGCCCATAAAAGTTGACAAAATGGTGCGCCATTCCGCAGTGAAGATTCGTTTTTTAGGGAAGAGTCTATTTTCTCCTTGCTATTCTTTATTATGAGAAACTTAATTCGATTTCCTCACATAATTAAGGCAACCTTAATACCTAATGAGAAGTTTATTTAATTTACCCTTACCAGTAATAAGAGTTTAAAGGCAATTTTGTTTGCTTTCCTTTTCGTAATTTATGCAAATCCCTTGAATAAAGCCAAAAGATACCTAATTGGAAATTAAACGAAATAAGCAACTTAGAAATTAAACACTTGAATAATTAAGGCCTAAGGGAAAATCAAACTGTCTTAGCTTTGTGCAGTCCGCTTAATCTGCTTAAGAGGCTTTGATTGGAAATTGGGAAATATTTTGCCAATGTCCTTCCCTGTTAGCGACAAATTAATTAGTTTAATTTATTTTAACTGAGCTAAATTCAAAGTTAGGTAGGCAAAGATTTATTAGTAAGTTTAAAGAAATATTTAATCAGCAAAGAAAATATCTAAAAAAAGACAAAAAATCGAAATTCTTAGTAAATTGAAAGGGAAAATGTCGTGTATAATTAAGACAGGAGCCTACGTCCTTGCAGCCCTTGAGGAAACGAAGAAAGCATTGACTTTCAAGGAAATTGTGAAGTCCACAGCCAATGAGTTTAATGTTGCAAGTTCCACTATAAGAACAAATGTCCGGACTGACTTGCAAGAATGGTCTTAGACTCGGATTTATCCAAAAGTTAGATCACAGATACTACTTGCTGGACGAATTCGCGGACGAGCAAATAAAAACTAGTCTTAAATCAGTTGTAAAGGATGAAAAAGAGCCGACATGTTCACAGAATCTTAGGGAGCAAATCACTTTAGCCACTCAGGATCAAGCCTCTCCAGAGCAAACAGGAGATTCAATGCAGATTTTAACTTATTCTGATGATGAAGAAGTCATGGTTTTCAATATTATAGCTAAGGAGAAGAAGGAAGTACAAAAAACTGGTCAGCTTACTAATACTGAAAATGAAAATAAAAAAAGTTTCAGTATTAAAAGCGAAAAACGTCATTCCGATGAGGAAACGATGAGATCGGTTCGAAAATTTCAATTAAATAAACATTGAAGAAAGTTGTTCAGATGTCTCACTGAATAGTGGGAGGGATTTTAATAATTTTTACATGTGAAGAAAGCTAAATTGTAAGTTTAAAGTATCTTTATTTATAATTATTAAGCTTAAAAGTTTTTAAAATGATTTTAGGATTTAATTAGGTTACATAAAAAACCACCAAACCAAAAGTTCATGCAACTTTTAAGCTTGAAAAATAACAAAAATTCAAACACTTTCTTAGTTTAATAACTCAGGCATTTAGAAAAAACAACACAAATTTATAAATTACAGTTTTGAGTTGGTTTGTTTTTACTATGAAACTTTTTAAATGCGAAATAACTTATTCAACTTTTGAAACAATTATCCGCACCTCTTAAAGAACAAAAAAAGTTGGCAAATAATTCACGAGCGCTTCCGGAAACTGCGAGAATGAAAAATAGTTGCGCCAGGTCCTTAACCCCATTGCTCCTTTGGCAGGGCACGAGCTCATTCATTCGACTGGCCAATAATCAAGGCAAAAAAATAAAACAATAAATTTGTACCTCCTTTGTAGAGCCAACTCTCTCTCTCCTATTTTGTCTCAGCAGCCCCAGAAAAACATTAACGAAATTGAAAACTTGCCAAAAAAATGTTTAATAAACACATTTTCGGCAGCGTGGAAGAGAGCACCAAATTCCCGCCCCGGTTTCCAAATCCCTTATACGCTTTCCCTCACTCTGTTAGCCCTGCTGGGTGGCCCTTCATTACGACTCTTAACAAAATGCGCTTTCAGAAAGTTTGAGTGCAACTCGTTATGCCAAAATACAGAATGGGCGGCCAACAAAGCAGCTGCAAGCCAACTCCAAATTTCCTGCCCCCTCCCGAAATAGTCAAAAATATAATGCGGCCGAAGTTTGTCTAGTAAAGCTGGCCTGGCTTTTGTTCTCTCTCGAAAACCTCATTCGGATTTTTTGAAAATTTCTGGGGGAATTTTGTGCAATGGTTTTTGGATTTTTGTTTGCTTTTGCACAGAGCCGGATTCCTGCTAATTTCGGAAATGTGCCGACAAAGTTGTTCGGTCTCGTCTCGAATCAAAGCGGCCTACAGGTTGACTTGGCCTGACCTTACCCACCCAACGCCTCCGGATGCCTCTTGTCTTATTACACCTGGCCAAATGGCCCAAATCCTTTAAGGCTGCTATACGGGGTCGTGATGCCGTGTCCTTTCTGTCCTGCCCTGTCGTGTCGTCCTGTGTGCGGTCGTCGCTGTGAGGGCCAAAAGTGTTTGCTTACCTTCATAAATTATAAATGGGTTTGCGGAGAGACCAAAACAACAACAACAACATCAACATCAACAGCATCCCTTAGGCAGTCAAAGTGTGCGACACAGCACACACATTGTCAGTTGACCTCAGCCTGGGCAGGTCCTGTGATGACGGAAAATATTGTAACACAAGCAAAGTTGGGGCAGGCACATGACAGTGCCGCAGGTCAACAAAATGTCCAACGGTGGAATAATTTGTATCACATGGGTTTATTAGATGCCGGAAAACCTCGCGAAATAACCAACGAACTCATACGTTGTGGTGCACAGCTTGGTTGGAATGTCTTACTCGGAATTTTAATTGTTCTGAATAATTCGGGACTCAGTGTGATTTGTGTCAAATTCCTGACAAATACTGGTAAGGGAAATTCTTGTAACTGTTTGTAGTGAAAGTTTCATTTGGTATGCATGGAAATTTCAAATAGAATTCTGATAAACCGAAAGCATGTCAAATAGGTTTTAGGTTAGGTAAGAGTTTATGAAGCTTTTCCAAGAAAGAAAACTTAGTTTAAGGTCCATACTTTATTACTTAAATGATCAAAAAAGTCCCCTTAAATATTTAATAGAAAAACTAATGTACTTCTTACCCCTAACCACCTCTTTATTCTTTACTTTAAAACTCACCCCAACAAGAGCGATCGACCAACGCTGCGGATGAGTAATTTTCGTTTCGCAATTTGACCCACTGTTTCTCATTCGCCATGCAACTAACAATTTCCTGTTCACATACACACAATCACGTCCACAATGTAAGCTGAATGGCCTTGATGCGCTTTTGGCTCGCAAAATGTGAGCTTAAATTATTCAGAGGGTCAGAGGGGGTCAGAGGCAGCTGCAGCTGCGTCGACGCTTTGGGCAATCAAAGACAACAACAAGTGTGTGTGTGTATGGGCCATTTAATTGCTCAGAGAATAGCAATGGGGCGAGGTTAAGGCGGGTTTAAGGGGGGCTTTGAACCACCGACAAAGACCTACCGATAAATGACCCACAAATGACAAAGTGCAGCGACAGTCAACGAGCCTTGTCTTTATTTCTTGCCGAAGTGTGAAAAGAACAAGACAAACCACCAAAAAAAAAAAAAGAAAATACAGAAATAAAAAAAGGGAAATACAAAGAAACGATGCCTCTGGGCTTCTCTGCGGTTATTTATGAATCGCAGCAGGAGGCTTCCAGAGAAAGGGGGCTACTATATCCTGGCAGGAGGCCCTTTGAAAAATTATTTTATTTCTGGTCAACGTTTGCTGTCTACTTATTTATTGCGTTCTCGCCCCCGCACCATTTCCCTGGGTAACTTGGTCTGGCTAAATATTTTCCAGCAAAGCCATAAAAATCAACTAGATAACAGAAAAGTCTTATATTTTCGTATGATGTTGAGATTTCGCATAATTATTTGTCTTGATTTATAGTAGGAAAGCCGCACAGAAAGCAGAAACCACAACTTTAATGAGGCCAAAAGGGGGAGACATAAATAAATATCTTTAAACCCAAATTGCAATTAAAGGGAAAAACCTAGCTTTAGCAATGTTACGAATATTAAAACTTGAATATTTTCACATATTTTCCCAGAACTCAATGTTATTCCGCTGAAAGGTTAACTTCTCCCCCCCTTTAACTCCTTCCACAAACCCAAGTTTATTTATAAAAATCTTCCCATCTAGAAAGCCAAGCCAAACTCTTCATACTTCTCAAATTCATCTAAACTTGGGTTTTCCCATTTTTTTTGTTTTGGCTTTTAATTTCCCTAAAGGTTTTCACCATCGACCACAGCTCACTTAGCAGGCCCCAGCCCATTGATTTATCTTCATCAACTTGAACCTTTTGTGTCATAAATTATTTATGTTTATGCACATTGCGATGACATTTGATCACAAGTGCCCGGCGTTCCCATAAATATTTCAGTAAAAAATCAAACAAGGGGTAGAAAAT